CAAAAGAAAAATAAATCAATGAATTAAAGAAATTATGAAAATAATATACAAACTTGCACTTGTAAAACCTAAATGTTTGATACATAAAAGAAATCTGAAATGTCATTCTGATTGATATAAAAACAAATATTCGTACCTGTATCAGTTGGGATTGATATTAATTTTGAAGTAAAAATTCGACTGGTGTAAATTGCATTTGAGTGAATTTGTTTTTCTTTTGTTCGTAGGAATATTTTTTACGATTTTTGCCTTTCTGATTTAAGGCACTCTTTAATTTCATCATATAGTTTAGAGTTATATTACTGAAAATGCAAAGTATTCGGTTTCCAATAAAGTTCATTTTCATATCAGATAGATAGGGTAAAGTCACCAAGTTCCTCAGCAGTTGGTCTGTTTTCCGGAATAAGATCCCAACCCTTTTCAATATAAATTTGCAACATCATTTGGTATCGTAGGTCGTACTCCTTTATAGATGTCTAATACAAATATATATCATGAGTTCGTTCACCAAATGGAGTTTCAATTTTGTACACAACCATTCCAAAGCTGTAAATATCTGCAGCTTTAGTCTATGGTTTTCCACTTAATACCTCTGGAATCATATAAAGAAGTACCCCACAAATTTTTGTTTAGATTTTTCTATATCTGCTTGAATGCTAAGTCCAAACTCACCAATTTGAGGAATAACATCCATTAATATATCTCCATATATTAATATATTTCCAGGATGGAAGTCACTTTTTTCTGTGAATATTTGTTAGATTTTTGATTATATCACATAAGTAAATTTTTGAAACCAAGCTAATTTTCGCTATTGGAATTAATATATTTATGGAGATTACCATCTTTTGTCATCACTATTGAATATTCTGTATTTTTAGTCATTCCATAATAAACAATACAACGACCATAAATACATTTAAGAGCAGTTCGAAGCTATTTTGAAAAATTTGAACTTTCAATTTAAAAATGTTCATTTTTACCACATGTATAACCCTTGAGCAATTTGTTTTGAATTGTGTAATAATTTCAACATCATTTCGATTTCTCCATATTGATTAAAATCATTTTTTTCATGATCCCATGCAATTAGATCTATGCCTATCTTCTCAAAAGGTTCTTTACTTTCTATAGGATGTAGTACATTATTTCTTCTGATTTTTCCTTTGCGTTGACATAAAATTCAAAAATATAATTAAATAAATTATAAATATAAATAATTTAAATCAAGTTATATATTTTATAAACCCATGCATTTATTTCTACGTCCAACCGGGTTGCTTTATAAATTGATCCAAAATCTCCAACAATAATCTTCGTTATTCTAACCTAAAATTTTTTCTATCACCAGATATTATGCGAACGATATATTTGACAGATGCGAAACTCACGCCATGAAATACATTTTACTTTTAACTAATGAAAAAAATAGAAATATCGTATAAAGTATGTTTGAACCGAAAATTTCAATTCAAATCTACCAATTCAAAATCTATCAATTCAAAATCAAAAAATCAATTCTAAAAAATATTTTATATTAAGCAGCAAATTCAATTCAAAAATATATCTCAAGAGTAATAGAACATCTGAAAACAGTCAATCATCTTGTATCCATTTGGAGTAGCCTCTTTCGCCGTAACTACATTCGTCTTTTCATTTTACAATCTCGGTGTCTGCGAAATCACGCATGACAATGTCAGTCTCGGTCTAGTGTTATTTTATGGTGGATTCACATAATTTATCGCGGGCATGTTGGAAATGTATTAACATGATGTCGGCCACGATGTTTAGTTCATACGGAGCATCCTGGTTGTCGCTCGGCTGATTTCATTACCCTCTTATATCTATCGTTATATCCATCGTTGATCTTCTTGATGAGATCCTCAAAGAATCCAATAAGCTGATCACGAATGAAGTCACGGGTATAAGCGTGAGGATTGCGAAAGGAAAGCTGTCATCGAATCTAACATCTTCAAAATGCAATTGTGAATTTTTTTATTGCTATATGATACCTTGCTGACATATTCTTCAGCAACATCTCTTTGGATCAGAGCTATTGACGATAGATATTTGAGAAAAATGCCAGTTGATAATTATGAAGGCTGATTTTGAAATATACGAATGTCATGAGATAATTGAAACGCTCGAATCTGCTCAGACGCCAGCGGGAAGAGAGACAAAAGCGCAAAGATTACAACTAGAAGAGCTTATGGAAAGAGTGCAGGATAGAAATTGAATGGTTGAGAATGATGATAATACAGATGTAATGAAAAGCGTTTGTTAAATGTATCTTTGGATTTATTTTATCACGCTGGTGTTATGAAATTAGATACATATTTTTGGACCAGTTTTACTGAATCTAACTTGCTAACTTATAATCCATCCAATAGGCGTGGGCAAATTTTTAGAAAGTTGTTACATAAATCTGTCTTGGATTATACATAAAATCATGTCTCCTCACCCAAAAATTTAAAATGGTTGTTTGTTTGCGCACATACCTAATAATGATAACTGCTACAGAATTTTACAGCTAATTTTGTATGTAGAAGTTACGCATACAGCAAACTTAGACAAAACATTCTCCACTATATTTAAATTTCAATTATCTCTCAAATTTTTATAGTTAAAATTATAGTCAATAAATACACCACAGAATAAAATTATACAGTATCATGCAAAACGAATAGCTTCATAACAGTGAGTGATGATATAACAGACTGTTAATCTCCTATAAACGACGAAGGTGGCACAGAAAATAGTATAATCTAAACAAGTGATATATAATTTCGGCAACTCTAATTCTAATTCAAACAATAATATCATATACACGCATAAAGATTCAAAAAAGCAGTATAGACAAAGAATAATTGATATATAGAATCGAATTTTTATTGTTCAATATACATGAATGAAGTGAATCACGACCACGCATATTACCCACCTAAACTTTCTTACGAATCCCAACAGTTTGATACATCGGAAACCTAATCTCTTGATTTGGTTACTGATGAATCGGAGCTCCATTTTGCTGAGAAAAAGACCTGTCCGCCGCAAAGTCACATTTCCAGCAAAAAGAAACCCACTGCTGAGGCGGCCATTGCACTTTTCTCCTCTTCAATGTCCTCTCCTCACCAACATCACCTTCACCCTTTATAGCCGGCTCCACCTCCACCTTATCATCTCTATTTCTTCTATTTTTATTTACTCCCCCTGCTAGGACCCGCATAGACCAATTTCTATTAAATATTTTATAGTGTCTATGTTCTGGACAAGTTGTGACCACTAGCTGCTCTTTTACTGCTAGTTTTTGTATGTCCACAACGCCTGGTAATGCGCAGCCAACAATCATCCCTCAAATGCACTACAATATACAGCAATGCAAGCCTCCAATATTCGAACAAAAGCAATGAAATAGCAAGCTCTAATCAAGATCATCATACTCAACCTTGCCAAAATGATCACATAAGCCATAGGTGTTGTAGTGTAATGTCGGGATGTTAAGAAGTCGGGATTTTGGGCATTCAAGATGTTGGGCATTCAAGATGTTGGACGTTCGGGATTTTGGTATTTCGGGGTATCGGAATTTTGGCTTACGGGATTTGGGGCAGATCCATTAAAAATGCATTGTACAACCTGTCCTAATTAAGTTCAATCTGCCATGACACTCTTTGAAAAGATATACATGGAATCATTGTGAGATATGACTACACTCCATTGCTCGCGTTTTCTATTACTGGGGAATCAGAAATAAAGTGAATCCGGACGAAAATTTTCATTGGTATAAAATTGCCGCCAACGAAATAATATGATTGCACAAAATCAAGTTAGCGGATGTTTTGACGTTGGCTTTGGAACTGTTAATAAGTTACTCGCACGTTATTTCGGGACGCACATGGCGCTATTTTTAAAGGGTATGATTTTTGAAATAATGTTCATGTTCGTCATTTCACGGTTTTATGGTACAACCTATAGCCTCTACTACGAATCTATAATCGAAATACTAGTTAATATCCATTGCCGACACCCAAAATTTTGATATTTCCGGATTTTGATAAGTCAGGATTTTGGATGTCGGGATGTTGGGTATCGGGATTATGTCTCCAGTATTTCAATTATGGTAATGGCGCATATGTAAACTTTCGCAATATCCAGGCTAATTTTGTCCTTATACAAGGCAACTTCCCTATAACGACACTTTAATAACGGAATTCCCTCTATAACGACAAATTTTCTAGAATGATTCATATAATGACATTCTCTTTATAAGGACAAAATTAGCCTGGATATTTGATGTCGTTATAGAATGTCATTATAGAGTCAATTTTCCTATAATAATATATGAAACATTCTAGAAAATTTGGTCACTGTAGAGAGAATTCCGTTATAAAAAAGTGTCGTTATAAGGAGGTTGACTTGTTTATTTTTTTTCACATTGATCTTGCGATTTGATTGGTTTACTTCTTAAAAAGCCACATTAAAGGCTAGGGGTATTTATTGGTTATTTTCAAATCATGTGGTACAGATCAAATGTGTGGCGAATATGTGGCTAAACCGACTAAACGGCTTGCCTTGCTTTAAGGAACCCCCATTTATAAATTTTGGCAATGGCCCGGAAAAATCAGCTGATTCACCACTATCCCGTTTTGAATACTAGACATGAGCTTCTAAAATTAGCCAATCAGAAATTTGAAATCTGATATCTGTTATGGCAAAGATGGTTCATATAAATTTACGTTTTTAATGGCTTGAAATAGTAAACTTTTTAACTATATCAGTAACACTATATCGATATCGATGCATGTATTAAATTGTTTATGTAACATTTTTAACCTTTTAAAGTTTTATTCCAGGAATTTTACACATGCCAATTATGCATGCGAGTAAAAATAATATGTGGGAAAAATACAGTAGTTCACATAGAATAATTAATCACATGGGAAAATAGTTGTTCTTTTCGAGTATATAAGTACCTTTAATTTTTTACGGTAAATACCAGTACAATGGTTGATCAAACTCCACTCCAAAAAATCGTTCTGCCAACAGGAAAAACGTTGGAAGGTTAGTTTTAATGATAATGCTCACATGTATATAACTTAATTTTTATCGAACGCATGTAAAAGTTTTTTTTACAGTCCAAACAGGATTATTCATCAACAACAAATTTGTGGAATCAATCGATGGACGACGCTTCGAAACTGAGAACCCATCGACCGGCAAATTAATCATCACCGTCGCAGAAGCAAGCGAAAAAGACATTGACCTAGCAGTGGACGTAGCAACGAAAGCCTTCAACAACGATTGGCAATATGTCGCGGGGAAAGAGCGTGGTCAATTACTATACAAACTTGCGGAGTTGATGGAGCGTGATCGTGAGGAGCTGGCGGAATTGGAGGCGTTGGATAATGGGAAAGCATATGCCACGGCAAAGAATGTGGATTTACAGCTGACTATTGAAACGATTAGATATTATGCTGGTTGGGCGGATAAAATTCATGGAAAGGTATGTTTCACTTTTCATTGTTTGCTTCTTATTACATGTGGTTAAATAAAAACTATCTTTAGGTGATAGAAACAACACATGATAAATTTAATTATACGCGTCATGAACCGATTGGTGTCGTTGGTCAAATTATTCCTTGGAATTTTCCACTTCTGATGTTGGCATGGAAATTGGGGCCAGCTTTAGCATGTGGTAATACTGTCATTCTTAAACCCGCCGAACAAACTCCACTTAGTGCATTGAAGACGGCTGCATTGATTCGAGAAGCTGGGTTCCCGCCTGGAGTAGTAAATATTGTGCCTGGATTTGGTCCGATTGCTGGCGCTGCAATTGCTAAACACATGAAAATTGCTAAAGTAGCCTTTACCGGCAAGCATGGCTATTTTTTAATTAATTCTGAGCATATACCTTTTAAAACGAATATGATTTAACTTTGATTTGATAAATAGGATCCACAGTTACCGGTAGAAAAATCCTTAAAGCCGCCGCTGAAAGCAATCTCAAAAAAGTGACGCTAGAACTTGGTGGCAAATCACCAAACATTATTCTCGAGGACGCTGATCTTGACCAAGCGATAAAATGGGCACACATGGGAATCTTTTTCAACCACGGGCAATGTTGTTGTGCTGGCTCCCGAGTTTACGTTCACGAAAAGATCTACGACAACTTCTTAAATCGATATAAAGAATACGCGCAAACGACAAAATTAGGAGATCCTTTTCAACCGGACACTGATCAGGGTCCACAAATTTCAAAATTACAATTTGATAAAATCATGTCGTATATTGAGTCGGGGAAAAAAGAAGGCGCTACTTTAGTGTTTGGTGGTAATAGACATGGTACTGAAGGGTATTATGTTGCGCCTACTGCTTTTACAGACGTGGCAAGTATTTTATTTTTTATTTTGCTTGTGACGTAGCTGTTTTAATGAATGTCTGTCATTATTGATAAAAACAGAAAGATGATATGAAAATTATGAGAGAAGAAATTTTTGGGCCTGTTGTAGCTATTTCTAAAATCAATTCAATGGAAGATGCGATCGAGAAAGCACATTTAACAGAATATGGATTAGCAGCCGCCGTGTTCACTAAAGATGTTACCCGTGCCATAAAAGTTGCAAATTCGTTAAAAGCGGGGACTGTTTGGGGTAATTAACTTATAATTTCTCAAGGTCATTTAATATAACAAATATTTATAAATACATATCTCTCCTCTCTTGTAGTAAACTGTTATAATCTGCTTGACCATGCATTGTAAGTGCAATATAATTCGACTAGACCGCATCGTTTTTTTATTCTCATCTTTTCTTATTTATTTTATTATCTTAGACCATTTGGGGGATACAAAGAATCCGGAATTGGTCGTGAACTTGGTAAATACGCATTACAACATTACACGGAGGTCAAAACTGTTTCTATCAATTTGGGCGTGGTATTATAATGTAATGTTTGATAGGTTATGCTAAAGTAAAAATATGACATAACTGTATTGCACAAAAATTCTTTGTTCTTTTATGTACATACCAAAAAATATCTTGTGCTATTAGACTTCCCAAGTACATGTAGTTAATTTCTTGAGGTCCGCTCGTCTTTAACATCAAAAAAGTGTGACACATTGTTTATCGTTATGTACATGTATCGATAGTTCTATTCTAAGCCATATATCAAAAAATCTATTACATGTAAAAAATCCACTATACCGAGAGTTTTGAAAATTCCTTAGTGAATATACAGTCACCACTCGTGACGAAATTTTTATACAATAATTTTTAAATAGTAGATATATGTACAGTATTTGGGTTCGTTCGTTTTTGATGCCTCGTTTTCGGGCATTATGTAACGTAAATTTATTGCAATTTTATAAGTATATTTTAAAAAATTCAAATAAACGAAAAATATATGGTGCAATAATTTTGGCGCAACACTAGAAAATGATTTATATGAACTTTATTTTTAAATTTTCTATCTAAACATGAAACTTTTTTACAAAAATTTCACCATCGTGTATAACCACCATTGGCCTTAAGAACATCTGCAATTCGCTGTGGCATAGTGTCAATTAGCTCCAAATAGAACTCAACATCTATACTTGATGTATTTTATTCCAAAGGTCATCCTTACTTGAAGTATTTCCGGGAAGTTTGTGTGTAATTAACGGGGTTCGAGTCAGGTGAATATGCTGACCAGTCTAAAACCTTGATGCCTTGCTCATTTAACCATTTCTTAGTTTCAGTTGCAGAATGTTTCGGATCATTGTAATTTTAAAGATGACATTCTTTAAGTCCAAACCATATACACTAATGGTTCTCATTAATTCATCAGCTAAAATCTATCAATACAGCTCATCATTCATTCTGCCTTCAATTTTACAATAAAATCCAACACAAAACTGCCAAAACAGCCCCGTATTATGACAGAATTCTTGTCATACTTCACTATTGGTTTAATGTGTTGTGATGTCATAGGTAATTTTGGATCCCTCCAGCACCACTCTCTTCCATCTGAGTTCCAAATCATGAACTTGTTCTCATCTGAGCAAATCACCTTATGCCAATCAATCCCTATATTTTCTTGCGAATTTCTTTCTTACTGTTCTATGTAATTTTTTTAATAGGGCTACTAGACCTCGCCTTCTTAATGCGCATCAAATTATATTTGGAGAAATGAAAGTATTTCATAATTGGAATCTTTTTTAAGCTGAATTGCATTAGAACATTCACCTGACTTGATAAGCCTGGAATGTTCCTTTCATGACATTCGGTAAGTATCCTGGGGCTGCCAGGTCTTGGTGCAACATTAAAGCTACCGGTTACTTCTTTTATTTTTTTGTCCTTAGCACGGTGGTGTGGTTGACATTTTCTTGAACATCTATCTCATGACTAGAATAGCCTTCTTGAAGAAGTGTGTAAATACGAGCCCTCTGTTCCAACGAAAGTGCTTATATAAATGTGCACAAAAAAACAAAACAGTGCTAGAAATTTAATAGAATCTACTAACAAAATTATTTATTCATAGTGTTCATAGATTTAGCATAAATGCCATTTAATTGTAAGTGTCCCACCATAAAAAAAGTATACTCGAATGTTTTCAAAAAGTAAAAAAATTACTATATTTTGGAGAAAACATAGTTTAAAAATTTTGTCACGAGTGGTGCCATATTTATGGAAGTCACTGTACCTACTATATCGATGGATTTATTAAAGGCAGTTATCCATTATATTTTGAATTTAATTAGTATCCACTATAAAGAAGGCCCACTATAAAAAGAATCACTTTTGTATCAGAGACAATGATATATGGCATTCGCAAAATGTCATATAATTCACAAAATCATATATCGTTACAAATTTGATTTATTATTTTTAGTAAAAACGGAACGAGAAATTAATTATAGAATCGCGTAATAAAAGGAATAAGAATTTATAGGATCATGTGAAAAAGTAACAATAGTCCGATATTCAAAAAACAGCTTATGCGCGACTCAAAGATTATCCTAAAGTATTTCGTGTTAATAATGATTTGCTTTTTTGTAACTATTGCAATCTTTTGGTAGCATGGAAACATAACCAATAGATGCAGATTGCGCAATTAACAATTTTCGAAACAACTGAACAGATTAAAATCAACAAACATTACAAACTGACTTTACATGCAGCAACAACAAAAAAAAACTTAATCGAAGCATTTACGTGAGTGGGACATTTATTGTATATTGGAACTTAATGAGAGTATGAATGAAAATAAATTTATTGAAATAATTTAACATTTATCGTTCTTTAGAAATCGCATCTGATTATATTTGGTTATATCTAGCTGCGCCGTTGAATTTAGCTTTTCTTTATATAATTCACTTTTAGATAATGACCATCGAAGGAATCACTTAAGCAATTTAATATCATGTATTTAATCGAGATAATTGAGACTTTTTTTAATAGTCATAGTAAATGAATGTTTGATTTAGAACAGAAACAAACTTACCATAACAAGTAACTAAAAGAATCGAGCACATAATATCACGAAATTGCACAAAATTTATCACAATAATGTGCATACATCACACAAAAAATTTGCCACAATTACATGTACATGTATCGTTCCTGCTGTGCATGAGACATGGATTCAAAAAAGTTGACCTCCATATGTAAGATAATCAGCATCTTAATTTACTTACGGCATGAGCATATAATGTGTAGTCTCAGGTGTCAAATCCTCTATACATGTACAGGAATTAAAAAATTGTTTTATTATGTATTTTAGGAAAAAATAAGACTGATCTTGCCGTATGAAGTCATTGAAACATATAAAGTGGCATGACAGATGTTACATACATGTAATATCCTGGGGAGAGCATTCAATATAATATTAATAAACTTTTATTGATAATTGCACACTATTTACGCGGAAAGTTAGGTTCCGACTTCAAACACCGTAAATTATCAGTTCTAATCATAATATGAGCGATAATGCATTGAACTTTGCTTCATTGTACATACACTCACCCGAAATAAGTAACGGACCCCCTTTAATTTTAGTTTGTAGAATACAATACATAATAATTTATTCCAAATTTTTTATATGTTGTAGCCTAGATTCTTGTAGATATGTAGAACAAATTACGCGTCGCGTCTGTTAATTGTTGATTGTTTACAAAATAAAAACTCAAGTTGATCAATATATAAATACATGTCAAGTTCGATAAATTAACAAGATATCAAGATACCTAAGAATTCTGACTTGACTGAAAGTGAACGTTACCAAATTATTAGCTTTCATAAAGCTGGTTTTTCTCGAAACAACATTAATAAAATGTTGAATTTTTCTAAAACAACAATTACACAAACAATTCATAACTATTGCAATGGAAAAAGCATGCAAACAGTGTCAAGAAGTGGTTGTCCTGGATCTTTAGATTACAAAGCCCAACAAGAATTAAAGCAAATTGTTCAAAGGAACAGAAAGCAATCAATTCATATGCTTAATGAAAAATTTAGAGAAAAAACTGATATCCAAGTTTCTAATCGTACCTTAGCAAAATACCTGCATAAAATTGGATTTAGTTCATGTATTCCAGCAATGAAACCTCTTCTTTCATTACAACAACAAGCCAATCGACTCAATTGGTGTCTTGAAAGAAAAGAAAGGTCAGTAAAAAAATGGAAAAGCATTATTTGGAGTGATGAAAGTCGCTTTACTATATTTAAAACAGATGGTCCAGGCCATATTTGGCGAACTCCCAGAACACATTTTAACATTGAAAATATTATTCCTTCAGTAAAGCATGGTGGCGGGGGTTAATGGTATGGGGTTGCTTTTCAGGTAAGGGGTTGGGACCATTGGTAAAAGTAGAAGGCAAATTGGACAGATTAGCCTATATACAAATACTTGAAAAGCAGTTATTGCCTTTTATTGCTACAAAACATAATGGGAAAGGTTATTTGTTTCAACAAGACAATGCACCAATACATACAGCCAAAGATGTTAAAGAATTGATTGTGGCAAAGAAGATTAAAACTTTGCCCGATTGGCCAAGTCAATCACCTGACTTGAATCCAATTGAACATTTGTGGTTAGAATTGGAATGTTGACTTCGAAAGCGTTCAAAAGCCCCCAAAAATATTACAGACTTAGAAAATGCTTTGCTGGAGGAGTGGGTCAAAATTCCAGACTCCGTATATATAGATTTAATTAAAAGCATGCCAAGAAGAATTGAAGCATGTATTACCAATAATGGCTGGTCAACCAAATATTAAATATGTAATAAATTTCCAGAAAGTTACTCAACAACATATAAAAAACTTGGAACAAATTATTATGTAATGTTTTTTGCAAACTAAATTTAAAAAGGGTCCGTTACTTATTTCGGGTGAGTGTAAGTATTTTTTAATTCAGCTACATATTATAAGAATTATACTATAAAAGCTTTTAGTTTAATGGGTTGCCTTTTTGGTTTCTGCAGCTTCAAAGCCAAAGAATTTGCAGCTACAAAGCCAAAGAATTTGATTACATAAACAAAAAAAGGAAAATTTCAGCGAAAATGTGACTCTATGTATATCATTATGAGTTATATAGTTAAAAGGGACGAAAAGTACCTGAAGAAAGATAAAATCACTTTTTAATATTCTCGAACTGCAAACTTTCGCTTACTTATCATACTTAATTATGAATCAACCACAAAATCCTTTGTAAATACAACAACAGAATTTACTGCAAAACCAGCAAAATCAACCATTGCCACCGGCACCAACACATTATAATATTATAAATGGAAGCTATATTATTTTTAATGAGCCATTTACTATCATATCAAATCAAAATGATAACAATATTTCAGTTGTACTCTTAGAATCATTTCGTTTGTAATTTATTAGTGCTCTTTGTGGTTTGTTCTATGATAAATTACAAAAATAGCATTTAAATTTTCAATCTTTTTAACTTATTATG